GATTATTTATTGATTTAAAAAATATTTTCTTTAACGGGTAATGTCAGGTTATATTACCCGTTAATATTAACAAGTTGATTTCGGATCGGATCATACTACCCATTTATTTTAATGGGTATTGACTAGTTAAGATATCGGGTATGTCACGAAAACAAAATAAACATGAAAAACATGACACGAATGTCAAGTTCTACTAGAAATCCAAAATAGAAAATGCATAAACCCGCATTTAGCAGAAACTTACCCAACTATATAATTTACCACATGATGATCACAATCGACGTGAGTCTAAACATAAGCTCAGAATATGGAACATTATGTATATTGTAATCCGGTTTAATATTTATATTGTTTTCTCGTTTTGGTAATTAATCAACTCACTAAAAGTTCATTCTTTATTTTTTTTTTCCGGGCACACTGAGGAAGTCAAGTTGGCTCAGATGATGTCCCAATTAGATCGAAGACACATCTCATATATAGTCCGTGGTTCTCGTGTATATGTGTTTTGGTTTTTTTGGCTGGATTCATGTTGAATTGTGAAAAATAACAAGCTGAGACATTCTTTGTTTGTAGAATGCGAGTTTATTGGGTCACATTAGGCCATAGGTATTCCTCAAATTATACATATATATAAGAGTACTCGATTGATAGTATGGTCCATGCCTATGACACATTTAATCAGATTGGTCTATTAGGACACAATTTGGCCACAGTTATTTCATCACATGGTGCCCAATGAGCCCATCAAATTAGTAATTAATTTTTCAGTTCAATTCGTCCTTTGATAAAATGCAAATTAATCGTTATCATTACTATGTCATATATTGTTCAAAAGGAAACAATTAAAAACACCAATATTATCACAAAGGAGAAGATGAAAAACTTTACTACAAGTGACTAATTGAAGATGAACAACTTTAAAACAAGTGACTATTGAAGGTGAACAACCTTAATATTGCTGTGATGTCTCTCAAGGAGTTGAGGACTATCAGGAATGAAAGGTTTCTTGGCTTATAATAAGTAAGAGAAGTACTGGTCTTGTTAAATGACAATATGATAATTAATTTCAAGAGAAAACATCATCATATTTGTTTAGAGATGAAAAATAATATGATTTGGATATGTATTTATGTGTCTTGAAGGAAAATATACTAGTTATTGGGGTTAGTCTAGTGGTGAAAAGTGAGAATGGGCTCCAGTACAGAGAGGCGGTTGCCTAAGGGCTCGATTTAGGGGGGCCTTGAAAAAAAAAAAAAAATTAAAGTGTATAGTCAAGTTTAAATACTAAAAAAAGATACATATTAGAATTTGATCACTAAATTCACTAGCGTGGTGGGAACTATATAGGAGCTCATTGGGAAATTTGGAAAAATAACCAAATTTTAGACCCCATATAAAATTATAGCCACCATATTAATTTTATGATAATTATAACCAAAACTTGATGTAAAAGTACTAATATACCCTTAATATTAGGGTTTCTCACAACAACCAAAACAAACCTTTAAACTATCCTAAAATGAGAAATTAATCTTCATCACTTTTTTGTTTTCACTATTCACTTTGCATATGCAATTTCGTATTCTTTCTTCATCCACTGGAAAAATATATTGGAATGTATGCAATTTAATCAGTGAAACACTAAATCGAAGTATCTAATTACAAAAATAATAATTAGCTATGGAATTAGTACCTTCTGAAGAACATTCTCATAGGTTGTCTTGCTAATTAAAGAGAAAGTTAATTCAGTGGCCTCAATATGCAGTAATCCTCAACATTTTAAGGTAGTTTAAAGGTTGTGTTTGTGGTTGTTATGAGAAACCCTAGTATTAAGGGTATATTAATACTTTTACATGAAGTTTTGGTTATAATTATCATAAAATTAAAATAGTGGTTATAATTCTATATGAGATTTAAAATTTGGTTATTTTTTCAAATTTCCCGAGCTCATTAGGCAGTTTAATTGGTAGTGGTTAGAAACTTGAATTTGTTCTTCTTCTCTTCTTTTTTCAATTATACTGCATATAATAGCCCTACACCAAAGACATGTAAGAGGGCACAAGTCTAACACCTCCACGAGAATGACTGCTTTTTTTTATCCAACGATGGAATTCAAAATTAATCAAGAAAAACAAAACAGGACTGGTAAAGCACATATTCTTGAGCTTAACGTTTGAATGAACCCTAGGTCGTCTCAAACTTCTAGCCTTGAGCCTTATCACCCTGCAATTCTCTCTCTATCTATTTGAAATTCTCTCTCTCTCTGCAAATCAACTTTCACGAGATCTAGAAGATTGTAGTTTGAGGTAATAATCACAAAAAAAATCTTTGAATTTATATTTTACTTATGTAATTGTACGCATGTTTTAAAGTTTTACATGGAGTAAGAACTTTCTCTTCATCCTTCTTTTGTCGATCTGTTTGAGTTTGATGGACTAGCATAGGCTATTAACCATTGGATTCTTTTCTATGAATGTTCAGGAAACCAAAATTATAGGTCTCCATGAATTTGAATGTTACGAAATAGTTGATTTTGATATATAATTATGTAGTGAACATTGAGAATTCACATTGGATGATTACGTATATGAAATATTGTAATTTGTAGTTAGTGAGATGTATAATCGATATGCGTGAATTTGTACCTAATTGCCGAAAAACACAAACTTATGGATGTTGAATGCATTGGAGGACTTAGAAAAACTCAAGGGCCCTTACAAGACCACCTCAGGCCCCCACAATCTTAAGACCGGTTATGTGGTAGTAAGTTAGGTCTAAGGTAGCAGAGTATCCACGTTCGAATTTACGTGTTTAACTATCTTGATGAAGTGATACATTTAATTGAACAAGTTGCAAATGCAATGGGAGCAATTTGGCTTTTTTTAATTTTTGTTTTCTTGATAATCAAAATCAACGTATTTTGTCTTGGTATGTTATAGGGGCATATAAACATAAATATCAGCTGGCGAATAAAGCAAATTGCCATTACCATTGCCTTGGAATTCAAGGCTTGAATGCAATTAAGTACTCGTATTCCATATATATCCATCCACGTAGAAGTTTCCGTGTAATTAAAGTGGTAATAGCAAAAGTTCTGCTGATTACCAGTATATTTAGAGGTGACCTAAATGCAGAAAATGTCAAAGAAAAGGGAAACATGAACTATATTTGTCATATTTTGTGATGTAAGCTCAATTAGGTTTTTGAGAGTGAAGACAAAGTATTGGTTGTGGTTTCCTTAACCTTTGTGCGACTAATGACGTATTATTTTGGTAATAGACCCCAATGATGTATATATATGGAAAGTGCCCTAAAACTGTAGTCTGCTAAGCTTTATTGATTTTACTAATATGGACCAAACCGTGTTCCTTCCTAGACGCTGCAGCGGGACATTAAATAGACAGACTGGAAAGAAAGAAAAAAGTGTGATTCGGACATGAAAGTAGTCACCGAGGCTTATGGTTGATCATCATGCATGCAATACATGTTCTATTAATTACTCTGAATACCACAAATTGCTTTAAACTAATTACCTTGCCAGACTATTCTGCAACTTGGAAAATTAGAGTTCGTATTTTCAATTTAGTTTCAATTTACATAGCAACTAAATTGTAGCTTCCTTAATTTTACCCAAATGTAGAGCAGCAATGCAGAAGACTAGATTAGTCCAGTAGAGGTAAAATATTGTAATAAATTTGAGTTAGAGAGCCACCAGTAATTATCTTCAAAGTTTACCATTCTTTTTAGCAATGACAGAAGGTCTTCATCGAAGACAAAAATGATGAAAGGTTTCATCTAAGAGTCTTTTGCTTCTTTTGGTTGAACAAACACATGTTAGAAATCAAAGATCACGATATAGAAAGCTAATTTTTTTATTAATTTTCTTGATATAACATGCAATGATCATGTTAGATTAATTAATTCAGTACAACCTAACCTTCGAAGGAAGGATAATTATGGACAAGTGGAGACACATGCATGCTGTGGAGACACATGCATGCTAGTTCTCATCCATAAAAGAGTCGCAGAAAATAAACATAATTAAGATAGAGAAGTTCTACCTTTCATGCGTGAGAAGTGGTATTGTTGGCTATAATTAAGGGTCCATTAGTTGTTGTGTGTGTTGCCTAAACTCAAATTTCTTGTGGTTCCCTAATTCGTTAATATTTTGTTATTATATGTATGTTTTCCATGGCGCACAGTAGAGCTTCAAAGACAAAGAGGCCGTAGACCTTAAATGGCACTCTAAACTTTCATGTTTAATATGTTACTGAAGCAAATTGCAGACTTTTAATTGTATCAGCAAATGTTAAAGTTAGCAAAAAGTAAAAATTAAGCTAGACAGAATAAATTAGACACATTTAGATGGGGTACCTTATATTCACTATGATTAATTTGATGCTCTGTGAACTTATTTTTACAAGATAAAGGGAGATGCACTTCCTAGAAGATTTCTGTAAAGACCAGGAATTTTGAAAGGTGCATGTCATCATATTAAAAGAATAACAATTTTGTAGAATTATAATTGGTAATGTAGGTGTAAAACAAAAACAAAAACAAAACAATAAAAATTCAAAGGAATTCAGTAGAAAGACTAATGAAAGATCATAGTGCAGCAGATAGGGGGCATTATGCATATAGTAGGTAGAAAGTAATAATAAATCGGTCATAATATTATTAATCTTATGTTCTAAGCTATATATATATCATGCATGGTTTGTAGTTTGTGCTAAATTAACTATACACAAAAAAGTACGTATATGCCTTTGTTAATAAGCTGTACAAATTGCAATAATACTTAATTGTACCAAGGAAATTGTCAACCTCCTCCATTGATTTTGAAATAGAGACCTACAGATATTTATGTAACAAACCTAGACAACTTAAGGAAAATACATATTTATATTTACAATGAGATTCTTAAATACCTTTTTGTGCTAAAGAAAATAGTTGGCAAACTGCTGGAGGAATTCCTTGTTACTCTTATATCCCTCGGTAGGTTATATAAACCGACCATTCCCAAGTCGAAGTTCCAAATCCACTTCATCATTACTCCTCACACCCCTTCTGAATTCATCATCCTCCAACCGCAAGCTTAAATTTGCACCCCAAAGTTCTTGGTTCATACCCAAAGACTGTGACCTTGACCCAACTGATGAATCATCATGATCATAACCGTATGGGATTCTAGGGTTAGACCCATTTGGCTGAAAATACATTTGGTAATTCATCTGATCCAAAACTGGGTAGTACCCAGAAGCCCCCTGGCTTGGAATTGGTGCACTACTATATTGATGATGATGAGAAGTACTCATGGATATGTATTGATCCTCATTCGAGTAGTGGTTTGAATTAAGTGATGATGTACCTGAGATGAGTTGCTTCGCTTTGGCTCGGTCTTTCCTGTGGATGTTCATGTGACCTCCCAAGGCTTGAGCGTTGGTAAACCCCCTCTTGCAAAATGTGCATTCGTAGCTTCGTTTCACTGTTGTAGCACCTGAATCATGATCGTCATCTCTGACTTGATCTTCATCGCTTGAACTCGTATCCGGGCTTCTTGGTCTCCAAGATTCCATGTTGAAACGCGTTGTTGCCCAACCGAATTCCTACACAGTTTTCCTCACTTGGGATCACTAAGTGGAAGAATCAATAGAGAGATAGAGGGTTGGTTGTAAGTAGGGAGGAAACCAATGGAAGGGTGAAATGTAAATGCATCTACAAGACATATTGGCATTGCTAGATACTGTGTCTTTATATTAAGCAGAACGAAGTTTTGGCATTTGGTGAAAGACTTTTTCATCTAGCCGGCGGTTCCATTTAAATTATCTTATTTATTTAATACTTTGTGTCCTTACCCTTACACTATGTTTAGATAAAGGAAATAAACTTGAAATTTTGGTAAAAGTCAGAATTTATAAATTAACATGCATCAATTCCCTTGTTTGGATTCATAAACATAGAAATTTAGAATTTTCGCGTGGAAAAAAAACTTGGACTTTGGGACCTCCAATTCCCAAGTTCAAATTTCATGTAAATAGGTGTCATTTCCCAATTTCTATGATTGAGAGTTTAAAAATAGTAAATTCCGTATTCAATTCCACTGTTCTTTTAGGTTAACCAAACAAGAAAATTTACAAATTCTAAAAAATAAAATCTTGTTATTTCAATTTCCGTCATTTTAAAATTCCTTAGTAATCTTAAATTTCTTCATCCAAACATAGTATTAATTTTTCTGCCCCTATAATTTTGGGTTTTGTTTCCAGTTATTATTTTGTCATCATCTCTATTTGTGTGTACGTGATTATTTTCTTCAGCACACTTCATGATGAGTAAGCTAGGGCTACTATTAACAGTAGGTAATAACCGTACAGTTTACATGCCACATATTTCACGCCTTCAAGTAATAATTTCAAACCTAATTACCACACTGCAAATTATATACTCTAAGAAGGGATCTCTCTTAATTACTATACATCTTTTATGCATATGCATCAACTCTTTTCCTACCCTATTGATTGACAAGATGATAATTGGAAAGTGATCTTGTGATTCATTTTGTTAGTTTGCTTCGTCTCCCAGACTACCTAGAGGTGAGCTAATTAACTAACGGTATTAAAGTTTCTATAATACGTATTCTTTGATTGAAGAAAATGGATTAGGACAAAAGTCGAACTCTGATTATAAATGTAAGGGTCCGTTAAGTTATCGATCGGTCTGCCACAAAGCTACAACCCTCTTACAAGCGCTGTTTTAGGCAGTTGTTGTTCATACTCTCAAATTGCCATCTTGCATTCCAACATCAATTTAAAGTACTTAGAGAAAGAATGAAAGATGAAAAATTGAGACCCAGAGAATATCTGGTATCCACTCATTGAATTGAACCAAGCTAATTAAGCTCCAACTAAACAACTAGCTATAGTACTAGTGACTAGTCTATTATCTATGATTAAGAGATGATGAGAAGTGGGAATTGGGGGGAGCAGTTCAAAAGGAATAAATAGATAGTAACCCAATTAATTTTAAAATAGAAAAATCTCTACCACACCATTTGTCTTCATGTTTAGTAGCAGTTATTAGCTGGTGCCTTTTGTATCAGAGACGAACAAATTAAACCACGTCCTGCTGTGGGCATCGATGGCATTTTACCTTTGACCATGTCTCTAAAATGATATCAGTGCTTACTAAGACTCAGAGGAGACGGCTACTTTCTCCTTCTTGTTTTGTTTTATAATTACCATCCAAGAATTATTCATCATCATCAAATTTAAATGTGCAATTATAATAATGATGATTACTCAGGGAAATAGTCTCTTGGACAAATGGAAGGTTAGAGAATGGAGAGCGTCAATTGACAGCAACGTGACTGCTGTATTAGTGCTTGCATTGCCACTTCAATTCCGATTAGCAAATATAACATAAAATATGTAAGTGCGTTTATGCAGATACGATCCAACTTATGTTTGTATCTTCCTGGATTTCGAATTTCCAATCAATGTAAGGTAGGTTCAAACTTTGGCTTGAATATGTGCAAGCAAGAAAAATACAACGATTTTTATTTAATAATATAAAACGAAATTATCACATGGTTCCAACCATGTATTTTATTTTATTTTTAAGGCGATGTATTTTAATCATTAGCGTGTATATTAGGGATGAATCTTCCCCTCCTAGTCCGCACTCTCGAGCAGCACTCAAGTTGGTGTACATATAATGTAGGAGAGAAGAAAAACTCAATCATGGATCAATTCGTGCGGAAAAAAAAAATTTATGGTCCTAAATTTAAAGAAAATAAAGCGACTCAACTTTGGGAAAAAAAAGTACGAGAAAAAAAAAAGAGGGAAGAATGGTGTATCCTTTTGACTTTCAGGTTGTTTGAGCAATTTAATAGCAAAGAATCACTTAGTACTACGGTCTAATGATATTTCTCTTTATTTGTAAGTGATAAGTTTTAGCTTCGCTTTTCGTTAAAGGCAAATTTAAAGCGCATTATTGTTAGTCTATTATAAGGCTTAACTTACTCCCCCAACCCCTAGAGTAGATAATGTTGTTTGTTCCCAAAAAAAAAATAGCGAAGAATATTTGTGGAAGGATTTAGATTAGTTTCTTGGTTTGTATTTATCTCACTATAAATAATATATTAGGATAGTATTTCATGATATATTTGGTAATCTGAGTTTCCTTCGATTTAGGGTTTTTAAACAACCTTGTGGAATTGTATCATAGCCTTTTATCATCCTATCAATTAAGCTTTATATTTTTCTAATTTACTTATGGATTCCATGGTATATATATATAGATTTCAGTTGATATTCTAAAATTTGATGATGTTTAATCTTACCTATTTTGTTTCTTTTTGTGTGAAGTAGATAAGTAGTTTCAGTTTGAATTTATTTTTTACAAAAATTAATCTATGAATCGTAACTTAAAAATCGCTACTATAGAAATCTCCGCCTAGGGCCGCCTAAACCCCACGTATGCGTTAGGTGACTAGCCACCATCCCAATTAATTTCTAGACGTTTGAATCTTTCTCATTTAGTTTTTGTGTGTTTGAAGTGATGGGTTTGTGTAAGTGGACATATGAGTTCGAGATGGCGGAAAGAGAACGCCTTCGCCAGCAAGTCTCCTATTACAAAAAATCATGTCCACCACCTTCGCCACCGCTCGTCGGTGTCTCTCTCTAGTTATTGGCTATATTGCTATCAATTGTCCAATACTGTCCAATCTTATCTTTAATTTGTGCACACATAAGTTTGGATTTAATATTTCAATACTCATGAACTAGTTCTTGGTGTGTAAAGTTGCTTTTCTTGCTCTTAAGCTATAAAGATTTGGAATCGAGTTAACAATGACGGTCAACAACTTATTTACCACAGTAAATATATATTGTCTTTTAAGGCAATATATCTGGTTGTCAACCTCTCACACTCTCTCACACACAAGTTCATGTAAATAAATTAGTACTCATTGTCATGCATGCATGTAATATTTAGCAGAGTCTATACCGTGCTGAAAACAATGGAGAAGAAAAATGGGGAGATTAAGATGTTGATGTGCGCCGACTGCCTATTACTCCTCCTTTATGCCATCTCTTCACTTTCACTGAAACAACCACCTTTGCAGCCTCTTCCTAATCCTATTTGTCTCCCTTTCTTTCTATCTAGTTTCACAATTCATATGCTTTTGCTAGTACGACGTGCGGGGACCCTGCTAAAATGTACTAAAAATTCCATATTTTCCCTTTCCATTGTGGTTTTGGTTTTTATTTATTTACGGCATACAATAATTTTCTTGTTTGGGTTAAGCTACTCCCTAGCCACTCCTAATGATCCTTATTTAGTATTACTTGTTATAATTATTCTCCTTCCTCTGGTATATCTTAGTGATGATTTTAGTCTTTGTCATGTGACTTGTAAAGGACAAAGTGAGTTGAGATAATTACGAAAATATGAAAAGATACGAAGTTTGAAACCAATTCCAAGTGATGGAGTGAAGTGATCAAGTCCTCATAAAATAAAAAATTAAAAACTGAAACCAAGTGATCAACATAATTAAGTGATTAAATGTAATACGAAATCCACCCATAGACGCAAAAAGCTCTTAATGTGATAACGACCAAAACGAAGAAGACAACAAATAAGATGTTAAGGGTTAGCTTCTGCTTCTTTCCCTTCTCTTTGATCTTGTACATATAATTGCACGGTTGAGTGCATGGTTGCCTAACATTAGTATATAGCTTCTTTTTTATCACACATATTCATTTAGAGTTTAATTACATGTTTTTTGAACTGCATTAGTTTTGAGTTGTGATACTAGAATCCAGACATATATAGTGCAAGAGTTTGTATCTCAGTTAGTTAAAAATATTCACCCGTCTATTTGAGATCTCATATTCGACCATCCTCCATGGCACTGAGGGCACGCATGCCTAGTGAGAAAGGACGGTTTTGATGGACTTACACAGCAAGGCCTAGAGAGTTGTGGTTCTATCTGGGTGATACTTTGGTTCTTTATTTGGCCCAACCCCAGGTCCGGTCCAGAGATTTTTGAGGCCCGGGACGACGTAAAAAAAAAAGTCCTAACTTCATGTAAGAAAAGTATTTATTTTCACACATAAGACATGAAAAAAATTATACTTAGAAAAACACTTCAAACTTAATAATTTAGAAACACAGAAAGACTAATTTATTTTGTATTGAGAGAGGGAAACAAAAAGACTTACGGGCTTACAAGTAGATAGATGATGAGTTTTGTTTTCCATCTGAACTTCGTATGTGTTTTTGAATAAATCGTGAGATGTGTTTTTTCTTATTTACTAACCTTGTCAACATGGGACTAAAAAATAATGATGTTTTCGAGTCTTTAATTGATATGTATTATTAATGAATGGGCACTAAATTAAACATTTTGATGACACGTCATATAATTTGCAAATTTGGTCTACATATTATTCTTTGTTGAAGATTAGACTTGAATTAAAACGAATATTTAAAAATAACAATCCACATAGCTACTAGATAGTAACTAAAAATAAATTAACAACCAAACAAAAATTTGTAAAAATTGAAAAGAATAAAC